ACAAGATGGGTGGCAATGGGGCGCTTGGGAGCTGCCCGGGCGGGGGCTCAGCAGTGCGCAGCCAGGGGGAGGCTAAGTGGCAAAGGGGCCCAACTTTCTCCACCTGTGACGTGGACTGGCCATGTGGGGCTGCAGCCCGAGTAAGAGGGGATCGATGTGACAGCCGGGACAAGGGGCGGGCGTCAAGAGGCTGGACAGGAGGACCAAGTCGCCCCCCCCCCCCCTTTCCCTACCCCCCCCCCCCCCCCCCCAGCTCCACTTACTGTCCCCGTGTCGTACCTTCCTCTGGATGGGTGTTGGCACCTTGTAGCCCTTCTTCATGATGCCCTTGAACACTGGGTAACTCAAGCCTGGGAAAGACACAGGCACTGTCAGGAACAGGGGAGACCCTCTGGCACATCACAGAAAGCGACACGGGACAAGTGACCGTGTCGCCAACACATGAATAGCCCGAAGAAAAGGAAAGTGACAGAATATAAGTGATAGAGACCCAGGAGACACACCTACTGACTAGGGGTTATGAACCTCATGGGGATGGTTCTGAACACACTCGGTGCCGCCACACAACTGGCGGGGTCTCGGACGTGCCAAGGAACTGTGCCTGTTCGGACGTGGCAAGGTCCTGTGGCCCTTGGAGGCACATGGTAAGTATTTGGGGATTCCAGAGGGGATGTCTGTGATTCGCTTCAGAATCCTCAAGAGGACGGGGACAGAGGAAACGGACTCACTGTTGACACTGGCAATGGGGATCGGGGGCTCGTTGTTTTCTATTTTTTTTTAATACGTGTGACATTTTCCACAGGTAAGAGAAAGGGTGCCAAGTTGCCAGGGCCCGTGATGGGCAGGGCGTGGGTGCTGACCAGTGAGGCACGTGGTGCCCCATGGGGGGGTGGTTGCCTTTAGACACTGAACGGGACTGGCCTTGTGGCAGTGGGAGGGCGAAGTGAGGCTTGGGGACAGGGAAGTACCGTGGTTGTGGCGGGTTTTTGGTCACTCCTTCATTTGCACAATTCAGAAAGGCAAAAAGTAGCCACGTGTCAATGTTTTTATTTGCTCTTTCTCTAATTACTGAAGAAACTTAGCACAGTTTTAATCCCTTAACTTGCTGTCTAAATTCCTTTTGTGAGTCGAATATTCATTTCCTTCACCAGATTTCTATCAGGGTATCTTTTTCTTATTGATTCGTAAAAGCTCTTTGTTTACTAAGGATGTTAACCCTATTATCTGTCTGAAAGATTGCAAGTATATCCCTGAGACAGCATGTACTTGAACTTAGTTTATGGTATTTTGTGGCATACATATGTCTAATTAAAAACAGGTCAAATTAGACAGTGTTCATATTGTACTTACAAAGGGCTTTTTTTTTTTTTTTTTGGAATTATAAAAATATTTACCTTGACATTTAAACCTTTGTGCCAGGTGCTACTGATTTGTAAAGAGCAAGCAAGAGGGTTTGACGTTATTCCCAGTGAATCACGGTCCCAGAGTCCTGATCCCACCCAGCCACTAACACAGTAAGTCCCCCAATGTCCACCCAGCCACTCACACAGTAAGTCCCCCAATGTCCTGGCCTGTTGCAAGCGCTGTCTTGAGCACTGCTTTAACTGCTCTCCTGCTGGGCCAGGCCTTAGGGCACAAAACAGCTGCCGTGGTGCTGGGCCCAGAGCAGACATGGGTCCCGGAGCACAGAGGGCATGACCAGCCCCTGCTGCTACTGCCCCAACGTCCCTGGACGCCTGGCTCACCCACCCATGGACTGGAAGCCTCCAGACTTCTTCTTCTTCTTGTTCTGGGCTCGTACCATCTCCCGCGTGTCGGGCTCCACATCCGAGGTGCATTCCGAGGTGGGGAAGGTGGGCAGGGGTCTGCCAGGTCCCAGCTGGGAGGGAGGAACAGAGAGGTGGTGTCATTCCAGGCACAATCAGACCACGGGGGACAGGGAATATCTCGTTGTGGGCCACCCCCCCTCATTCGCTCCTGCTGGATCATGTGACTTCTCTGTGAAAGGGCTTGCCTACAAGCGGGCCAGGGCAGGGCAGAGGGTCAGAGAGTGGGCTGTGCAGATGGACTGCCTAGCTTTCAATCTCAACCATCACTCACCGGTTGTGAGGCCTCAGACAAGAGACTTTATCTCCCCGAGTCTGTGTCTCCCCATCTGGGAAATAGGGATGACAGACTGAGGCACACGTCTCCCAGGGAGCCATGAAGACTAAATGGGTAAGTGGAAAGCCTAAAACAGCACCCGGCACATACCTGGTGTATCGTCATTGTCATTTTGGCCCGTCATTCGAAGCCCTCAAAATCAGAAACTCTAGAGGGCCAATCAGCGCATGCAGTGTGTGTGCGGTACTAGACTTTCTAAGCCGCCCTAACCCCCTCTCTCAAGCCCTGTTCTGATCCATCACTGGTCCCAACTCTGCTCTCTCTCCTGCTAGACTTCTTCCTGCCTATCCAGAACCCACTTGTCCTATCCAGCTACTCCCAACCCGGACACCTCTTCCGGGGAGCCTTCTCAGACTACAGGACTGTCCCCCTGCCTCTGAGAAATAGCATTTCTGGAGCACTAATTCATAATAATGGTTAAAACTTCCATCGTGTTCCCTACAAGCCAGGTGCTGCTCTGAGCATTCGTATAAATTAGTTCACTTAATCCTCACAGCGACTCTGGGAAGTATGTACTATTAATCTATTTTACAGAGAAGGAAACTGAGGCACGGAGCCATGGTGACCTGCCCGGGCCCACACAGTCAGCAGAGATTTGAAACCTGGCTTCAGAGTCCATGTTCTTTCCTCTGTGACCCTCTATGGTCCCCTACAACTGTCTGGGCCAGAGCTGTGAGCTAAGAATGGATTTTATACATTTAAAAGATTGTAAAAAAAGGGGCGCCTGGGTGGCTTAGTCGGTTGAGCGTCTGACTTTCGCTTAGGTCATGATCTCGCGGTTCGTGGTTCGAGCCCCGCGTCGGGCTCTGTGCTGACTGCCAGCTCAGAGCCTGGAGCCTATTTCAAAGCCTGTATCTCCCTCTCTCTCTGACCCTCCCCTGCTCACGCTGTCTCTCTCTCTCTCCTAGAAATAAATAAACATATTTAATAAAAAAATAAAAATATAAAAGATTGTAAAAAAAAAAATCAAAGAAGACAGTGACCTTAGATGTCCCCACAAAGCCTAAAGTATTTACCATCTGGTCCTGAATAGGACGTTTGTCAGCCTCTGTTCTAGACACGTGAAAACAAAGTGCTCGGAACACCGGTGATATTTACTGAATGAGCAGAATGCGTGAACACTGTAATTTAATCCTTGCAACGGTCTTTGGGGAGCATATAATCATCGGCTTTCCCTGCATGGGGAAACGTCTGCCTTCTACATATGTGGCACAGAGAGGTTAAGCAACTTCTCCAAAGTCCCACAGCCAGTGCAGGGGTTGGGCCACATCTGAACACAGGGTGAAGCTCTTCGTCTGAACCATATCCACAGGCTCTTCTTTGGCACCTGCTATCTGTGCCCTCCTGTGCTTTAGTAATTTCTCCACATTTATAGAGCACCTACTGTATACCAAGCACTGGATCCATCAGGGTGAGGAAACATAGGTAAGAAGACCCTGTCTGGCCCCTGACCTGGAGGTACATAGATCCCTCCCTTCATATAAACACCCACTCTGTCATCTACTTATCCAGACCCTACTCTGTGCCAACCACCGGCTGGGCACACGGGTGTGGGAAATAGTGAGCTCTTTTGCCTTCGTGGTGCTCACACCCGCCCCCCTCCCATTTGCATATAGTTGTACTCAGTAGTGGAACCAGAGGCCCTGGATCCAGAGGTCTGAGTCCTGACTCTCCCGCTCACAAGCTGCGAAGTCTTGGTCAAGCTCATTAAGCCCTCTAGGCCTCAGGGTCCGCCTCTGGAAAATGGGAATGGCAGCCCTCGGCTCACAGGGCTGGTGTGCGGATTAAATGATAAGGCAAGCAAAGTTCTCAGCAAAGAGCTTGGCACATAGTAAGCGGTCAGCAAACGCATACTTAATTTACTATTGGTTACCCAGAGGCTTGGGGGCGTCAGTGCCTCTAACCACGCGGCCCAGCCTCCGCTGAATTCACCCTCACAAGAATCCCGCAAACTCTCCCCAAGTCAGAGTTTCGGCGCCCGCACTTTTCATTGGACCAAAAGGAGCGAGGACCCGCCCCCTGGGCAGGAGATAGCCAATGAGGGGCGCGCGACCAAAAGCCGGCCAGGAAGGCCCAGAGGCCGGGGACCCTGCAACGCAGAGGCTCTGGGCCATCAGGAGCCGGGCGGTGACGGGCGCGGACACACGTGCTCAGGCTGGCGGTCCTGCCCCCGACCCCCGGCCAGCCGGCCTCCCCCCACCCTCAGCTGTGCCCGCTCCCCGGCTGGGGAAACCGAAGCGCGGGGCGATGCGGGAAGCCGGGGCTCGGGCTCCGAAGTGTGTCCCGGCCCCGCGCCCCTTCCTACCTTCTGGGCCCGGGCGTCATCTTCCGCCTGGATCTCAAACTCGCCGTCCTCTGAGTCGCTGCTGCGAGCCTGGGAGGCCGCTCCTCGGCGCTTCCGCAGCCCCTTCTTTTTCCTCCACTGGGCCATGGCCGCGCGGGACCGGGGTCCGGCCGCCGGGCGCGTGCCGGCCGCCATGCGGGCCCCGGCGCAGGGAACCGGGGAAGGGGGCGGGGCCTGCGGGGACGTCCTAACGGCGCGGCCGGGGAGGGGGCGCCGCGTGCACGTGGCCCCGCCTGCGCGGCCTCCCCTTCTGCAGACCCGGGAGGCTCGAGGCGCACACGCGGACCCACCTCTGACTGGCGGGAGGGGTCCCTCTCTAGGCTTTGGAGGGCTCCGGGGGCGTCAGGAACGGGGTGCCTCCCCCCCGGTGCTAATGGTTCCGGCCGCCCCGCCCCTCGCTGGTTGCCGTGGGCTGCGCGCGCCGAGCTCACGTCGCTAGGGCCTGGCTGCCGCAGCGAGTCCTTTGGGGCGGCGGCCGGGGCTAGGGGTGGGTGCAGGGGGCTGCCCGGACAGCCTGGGGTCCCGGGCTCCCGGGGTCCAAGCTGCAGATAAACTGGGGCCTCGGAAGCACCCGGGAAGGAATCCGTATCAGATGAGGAAGGGGCGATGAGGTTGCAGCCGACAGTCCGCGAGCCAAGATGCTCAGGTAGGAAAACAAGAATGCAGGGACCTAGGACATCAACTGGGACATTGGCTTGGGGATCCGGACATATGATGTAGTTGGAGGGGTGGGTGTGATCCGTCAGTAGTAAAATGGTTAAGTGCATAAGCTCTGGGCTTTTATCAGGTTCAAATTTCTCTTCCACTGCTTTAGCTTTATTAAGTGTGGCTTGGTTCCATCTGTGACTTAAGCTTTTTTTAAAAAAAATTTTTAATGTTTTATTTATTTTTGAGACAGAGAGACAGAGCATGAGCAAGGGAAGGGCAGAGAGGGAGACACAGAATCTGAAGCAGGCTCCATGTTCTGAGCTGTCAGACAGAGCCCGACGTGGCGCTTGAACCCACGAATGGTGAGATCATGACCCGAGCTGAAGTCGGATGCTTAACCTACTGAGCCACCCAGGGGCCCCTGTGACTTCAGCTTTTGAAGCTTCAGTTTTGTCATCTGTAGAATGGACATAACTGAAGCGACTTCGCAGGACTGTTAAGAGGATTCAGTGAAACAATGCTTGTAAAGCTCTTTGCACAAGGTAAGCATGAGATGATACTGGTTATTGTATCCACCCCATAAATATTTACACTATTGAAGGACTGGCCCTGTCTCCCCATCCCACCATGCTAAGTTTTCTTGTTGGTGCCGACATAGACACAGACCCCATCTCTTTTCCATCCCTCTAGCATTCTATATTGAGCACTGTATGGGGCGCCTGGGTGGCTCAGTCGGTTAAGCATCCGACTCCGGCTCAGGTCATGATCTCTCGGTGGGTTTGAGCCCCGTATCGGGCTCTGTGCTGACAGCTAGCTCAGAGCCTGGAGCCTGCTTCAGATTCTGTGTCTCCCTCTCTCTCTGACCCTCCCCTGCTTGCACTGTCTCTTTCTCTCTCTCTCTCTCAAAAATGAAGACATAAAAAAATTTATATTGAGCACTGTATGCTGAGAATGCATACTTATTCGTTAAATATTTGCCGGGAGCGCCCCTCTCCCTATTGTGGTGTCATAGCCAAAAGACAGTTGAACAAGTTTCTGAACTGTCCCCTGAGGTTGGAAGCTCCCCTTTGAGGAGGACCGGTTGAGGGGGGACCTGGTCCTTTTCCCTTTGGGATAGATAGGAAGAGACGGCCCATCTTCCCCTGCTGGCACTGCCGGTGACAGGGGTGCCTCCCTGATCCCCTTTCACAGGGAGCCCTGGAGGCAGGGCCTGGCAGGCAGAGCTTGCCTGGTATCACCCGGGACCGTGGGCAGCATGAAGACCCCCGCGGAACTGGCCGTCGGTGGGATGCAGACCCTCCACCTTCAGCACCGTTGCCGGGGCGGGTACCGGGTCAAGGCCAGGGCCTCATACGTGGATGAGACTTTGTTTGGCAGCCCTGCGGGTACCCGGCCCACACCACCAGACTTTGACCCGCCGTGGGTGCAGAAGCTCGACAGAACCAGTCGAGTGGGAGTGGGCACAGGGACATCACCAGCCTTGGGGGCCAACGGGAGCTGTGAGACCACCTCCTCCAGGGTCAGCACCCCGACCCTCACACCAAGGAAGAAGAACAAATACAGGTAACAGAATGGGGAGATGCGTTCTTGTACTTGGGAAGCCACCTGGGTTCCTATTAGAGCCTTTCTCTTCATGTGCTGTGTGACCTTGGGCAAGCACCTTGACCTCTCTGAGCTGCAGTTTCCATATGTGGAAAATGGGACCTCGCAGGATGATCGAGAGTAAATGAAGTGAGGTGTGTACAGTGCTTGGCACAGTAACCTGACGCTTAGGAAGCTCTCAGTAAACGACAGCGGTACACCTGTTCCCAAATGCCACAGACCCGGCAAGTGACACCCAGAGCGGTCAGGGGCTGTGCACAAAGTTGCAGAGCAATTTGCATAAGATTTCGGTGCTGTTGATCCATGAGATGACATAGATGTGGTGGGTGGGGCCCCATCTCAGCAAGTCATTTCGGAAGTGGTTCTTGCTGCCTTTTCATGAACAAGTTAGAAAACCAAGAGTTGATGCTAATATTGTCATACATTAGAGGTTTATTATTATAAATTAACTATAACCAGATTATTTGGATTATTTCAGGTTAATATCAGCCGGAGGGGGGCGTCTCGTGGTGGGCCCCAGGGCTCTGTCTCGTTTATCGTCATCATGGGTTTGGACGAAAACAGAAGTGGCGTCGTAGGCATTTGCTGCCGTAACGAAATACCGTAGACTGGGGAGCTTAAGCAGCAGAAATTCATTTGAGTTCTGGAGGCTCAGAGTCCCCGATCAAGGTGCTTGCAGGCTGAACTCCCTCCTTGGCTCACAGACTGCCACCTTCTCACTATGCTCTCGCGTGTCCCTGTCTCTGTGAGCATGTCCTTTCCTGGTGTCTCCCCCCTTCTTATTGAAGGTACTAGTCCTATTCGAGTAGAGCCCACCCTTATGATCTCATTTAAGCTGACTCATCTCTTTAAAATTCATTGTGAAATTTTGGGAGGCCACAGTTCAATCTGTAACAACTAGCCAATCATATTTAGGGTCCATTCTGAGCCAGGAGGGACACAGGTTGGTGGAAAGACATGAAAATGGGAATAGTGACTATTTAAGGAGATAAGATTCAGTGAGATAAAAGCAAGATTGCATTATTATTATTATTATTATTATTATTATTATTATTATTAGGCTGGGTTGAGCACCATGCATCTGACATAGGGGCCTTAAGGTAAGGTCAGGTTGACATTAGCTGCACTGACCCCTACAACCTAGCTGTAAACGCTGATGTAAATGTAGGCTGCATTAACAGAGGTATGGTGTCTAGGACAGGGGAGGTCAGCCCCATGCTCTCCTGGAGGATAGAATTTCGTGCAGGATGCTGACATGTAGAGGGTGTCAAGTGAGAACGTGCATAAGAGAGAGAGAGATGCTATTGAGTGAAACCTTTGGTCTTGGACAGACAGAGGCACCAGGCAGGTATGGTTTGAGCAATGAACTCAAGCGACAAAAAGTTGCCTTTTCTAACACTTGGCAGTTTGGCAATCACACTTCCAGTCCTGGCCAAAAACCATGGAGCTGACACCTTATAGTTGTGCTGTGAATATTTGTGAGACTAATAAAAAAAAAAAAATTTGCTGAGTGAATGTAATTAAAGGTGAGAAGTCACTTACATTTGATATACTGATCCCAGAGCTTGGGCCCTTGAGCCAGGCTGGATTTGGATCTTGTCTCCACCCCCCTCCTTGCTATGGGGCCTTACCTTCCCTACACCTCTATTTTCTGGTTTGTACCATGATGTTTGTGAGAAATAGGGAGATGATCACATGACTTGCTGCGTCCTGGGCCTTTGCATGAAGAAGCCTGTAACAGAAGTTCAAACTGAGCACCCTCTGAATGCCGGGCACTGTGCTCTGTCACTTCAGATACCGTGGGAGGGGCCACAGGACTGCAGAGGGCTTAGCTGACAAAGCCACTAGGGAAAAGGAGAATGGGGGCGGGGGGTGGATAGCAAAAGTAAAAGCTGTAAAGATTAAGGTCCTATTAACCAGGACTCTTTCAGATACAAGTAACAGAAAACTTACCCAAACTGGCTTCAGCAGAAACTCGATGTTTGGGGCTTGTTTATCAGGGACTCAGACACTTGTTGGATTTCATCTCCATCATCACAGTGACCCCCCGCCCTGTTCCAGCTGAGCTGGCGACCAGCTGCTTTGCTGCCCTTTCGTCTGGCCGTGTTACGAAGTTGGCAGGCACTCATTGGCTGAGATGGGTCACGTGGCCAATCCCAAGCCAATCGGTGTGGCCAGGAGGATGGAATATGCAAATTGGCCGGGCCTAGAAAGGCTGGGGTCGGGATGCCGGGGAGGGGGGGAAATGACCGAGATGGGGGTAGTGGGCTGTGAGAGGGCTGTGGCCTCCCTGTGGGTGCCGGGCTGGGAGACAGGGACTTCGGCATCGACAGGCAACCCTCTGTGCCACCGCAGGTGTGCGGCAGGGGCGTAGGGGCGTATGGTTTCCAGGGGTCTGTTCATGCCCCCCGCTCACTGCATTTCTCTTTCCTTTCCTAGACTGATCAGCCACACTCCTTCTTACTGTGACGAGTCACTGTTCGGCTCCCGGCCCGAGGGCAGCAGCTGGGAGGGCCCATGGATGGCGAAGGGGGACTCTGCAAAACTCCATGCCCTCTTCTGGACGCCCCCAGCCACCCCCAGGGGCAGCCACTCGCCCCGCCCCAAGGAGACCCCGCTGCGGGCCGTTCACCCAGCTGGTCCCTCGAAGCCAGAGCCCCAGGTGGCAGCAGACACCCGGAAGTCGTCCGTGGATGGGTTTGACTCTCCACGCCCTCTGAGGCGAGAACGCTCCCATTCCCTCACACGCCTGAGTGTCCCCAGCACGGGTCGCCCGCCCTCCAGTGCCCCCTGCGTCAGTGGGCCCCGGGATCCCAGGCCTTCCCCGGCGGGGATGACCTTCCAGAGCCCCCTCGTGACTCCCAGGGCTCACTCAGGCCGTGTTTCAGTGCCAGCTGCCCCCCAGCGAGGGGGGGCCACCCAGAAACCAAAGCCCCCTTGGAAATGAATTTCTTGATTCTCAGGTGAGGGACACGGTTTCGGAAGAGGGCGTTGGCTGGGGCGCCTTTGGGGGCACCAGGGTCTCCTAGGCAACCACGAAGCATCTGAGGAGCGCGTGTGGGGGTGGGGGAGACACAGCGAGGGGGGCAGTGCCTCTCTTTATGCTGATTGTTGCCCGCTCCTCCTACCTTTACCCCATCGTGTGGATTTCACGGCCTCCCCTTAAGCTTCCCGTACTGGTGTCGCCACGGCCACAGGCCGTATGAGTGCCCACCCTGGGGCCCCCCCATCACTCCCACAACGTCTTGCCGCCAAGTGTGACTAAGTGGCACGATCGCCATCCTGGAAGGCCCCGTCTTCCGTCAGGCCAAGCCTCCTGCTCAGGGTGAGTTTCCAGCTGAGTCTGGAGTTTCCCTGGGAGCCATGTGGGGACCCTGGGAAACAGGATCTGGGTGACCTGCGGGTGGGTGTTTTTTAACTTTTAAGGATCATGTATTTATTTCTGTGTATTAAATAGATCAGTAGCCTATCAAAGCCATGACTTTGACTAATTTTATTTTCCTCAGGGTAAAGGCCACTACAGGCCCCGGGTTGAATTAAATAACAAAATTAGATAACGAGGAAGTGGCAGAAATCATGACCGTGGCGAGTTGGCCCCTAAAGAGTGGCCAAAAGAATGGAGTGTTAAGGACTTTGCTGAGTGGAGGGTCCCAGAAGGCCAGAAAGCTAGACGCGCGTCTGCGGGGCGCTTCGGACAGCGGAGCAGGTGCTGCGGGGGCCCTTGCGCTCCGACCCCACTGTCTGGTGGCGCCGATGAGAAGCGGCAGAGGATCCCAGGATCATGCCCGATTGGGGTGGGGGCTGGGCTTCGGCCTCTCCATGGCCTCTCCTCTCGACTACACTAAAGATGGTGACAGCCCACGTGTGAGGGTACCGGCAGTGGACTGGCTCCAAGGACGGGTGGGCCCCAGTCTACCTGGGTGAGATTTTTTTCCAGAAAAAGTTCGATTTCTCTAGGATCGCCCCTGAGTTTTTAAGTGCCAGTAATGAATAAAAATATAGACGAAGACTGCTCATCTACCTGGGCACCAAACAAAGCCGGAGTAAGACTGCTGGTTTGTGGCCTAGGGGGTCTGGAGCTTTCATGGCGCTGGATGAGGGAGAAATTGGGGGCAAATGGGTAATCCCAGAGCAGGGGCTGTGGGCAGCCTGAAGCCCGGATCCACCTGGAGCTCTCTGACTGCCGTCCCCCAGCTTGGGGGGGGCGGGTAGCCATGACCACTCCCACAGTCCTGGGGGGTGACCCGCCCTTCACAGCCCTGGCACCCGTGCGGTCTGGGGCCCAGGAGCCTGCCGCCCAGGGTCTGGCTTCCCGCCCAGGTGAAAGGGAGTGGTTACGTGCTGACCCCCAACGCGTGAGCTCTGCCCACCAAAAGGGCATCGACACGTATAGACACGCACACGCCAGCAGCCCTGGGCAAAACAACGTTTATTTTTGTAGGATGTGATTGAAAACGGTTTTTAAGTTTGAAAAGTCATTTAAGCCTGGAACGGCAAGGCTTCCCCCGCCCCACGTTGTGGCTCCCCGGCCTGCTCTCTGAGAAGTGAGGAGCATGGCGGCACAGGTCAGGAGTGGGGTGCCCAGGGGAGACTCAGTTCTTGCCCTTGCCCTTCTTGCCTTTCCCTTTGCTCTTGCTTCGCTTCTTCTTCTTGGACCTGAGCAGGGAGCGGACCAGGTAGCCCTTCCACACGGCCTGGATGAGCGTGGCCGCCTGCACCATGTGCAGCATCTCCTGCTCCGCCTCCATTCTCTTCTTGGCATTGACCTCCCGCTCGGCCCGGATCTGGGCAAACTCCTCCACTAGCACGTTGTACCTCTGCTTCAGCTCCGCCAGCTGGACCCTCTCCTCCTTGTGGATGGCGTCAAGCTCCTCGTACTCTTCCTGGGGTGAGGGGATGGGGGCTCAGGGTCACCAAACACAGGGCGCCACCTGGCACCCTCTGCTGCGTGCACCCCCCCTCCCCGGCCCTAAGGGGCTTCCACCCTGGCAGGCCGCCCACACGATGCCTTTCTCATCTGAGGCCCGGATGAGAACAGGAGAGGTGCCCTGACTCGAGGTGGGGCCTGACCAAAATACCCTGAGGAACAAGGAAAGAACCCAGGCTGGTGGGCTGGGCCTTCCGGGGGCTTCATCGTTCGAGCCTTCAGCTGTCCCAAGACCTGGGGACAATTTCAAACCCAGGAAGTGGGTGGGCGGCTTCTGAGGATAAGGTGGTGGGGTAGACACCACGGGGGTGCCGCCATGGGCACAGTGGGAACACAGGCTCCTGCCACGGAAGCGGTCTGTCTCACGGTTCCCCAGAGTGGGACCTTCTCACATGCCCGGCTCCCGCGGTCCTTCCTTACGCCTAACTGCCTCCTCTCGCTGCAGTTCAACCCCCTGCCTCCCTCCCATCCGCTCCCACTTAGCAAGCGTCTACCAGAAGCGAGGGGCTTCAGGAGGACCCAGAGCTCAGTAGGCTCGGTCTCTGCCGACAAGGAACCCACCGCCCTCACTGGGACCAGAGAGACCAGCGCGCAGCCTCTGACGCCCTCCTCCCTGGAGCACTCCTGATCAGACAGAGCAGGATCCCCCCTTGGCCTTCTCCTGACTTTGGGCCACTCAGGGCTGACGTCCCCTCCGGTGCTCACCAGACCTCCCTGGCCCTGAAGCCGGGACTGTGGGCCACCCGTGTTCTCCCAGAGCTGTGGGGAGGTGGGTTTGAGGGCACCCTGTTTTCTGGGGCTCCCTTCGCTAAGTAGTTCCTCCAGGCCAGACCGGGTGCTGGGTGCAAGCACTTGTGAAAGGGGCGCTTCAGTGCATTCCCTTCGTAGTCCCAGCTCGGGGATGACTCTCCGTTGATCACATGCAGAATCAGGCTCAGAAAGGCCAAGCCCCTTGCTTCAGGCCACACAGGTGGTGACACTAGAGCAGAAGCCCCAAGTGACAGTGGGGACCATCTTCATTGTGCTGTCCCAGCACATGGTACATCTCAGGCTCTCACGAGAAACCTGGGCGACTGAGGGGCGCTGCTTGCAAGGCTGCTGGCAGGAGCCGGTAACGAAGGGACAGACTCTGGGATGCGGACACTAGATGGAGCTAAGATCATTCGGCAGAGTGACAAGCATTCCGTGGCTTCCTGCTTCTGGCTCCTGCCTCTCTGGCTTCTCAGGCTGCCCGAGGCCAGACAAACCCTTGGGCCTAATGTATGGGGGCAGGGAAGCCTGTCTGGGGGAGGCCCACGGCTTGGCTCTGACCATGGACCATTCCTAGAGGATCATGGGAAATGCGCTCAAGAGACGACAGCACGAATACCTGCTTCTCACCCATCTCCGTATCGTATTTCTGGATCCAGTTCTCAATTTCCGTCTCCACTTTATATTTCTTCTAAAGAAAATTCAGTGAGTCATTGTTTGATGGGTTCATAGGAACAAGAAACCGTGCCAGGCTCACTCTGCATCAAGCTTTACCTGCCTTTCCCACAAGGTAGGTTCTCCTCCATTTCACAGATGAGGAAACTGAGGATCAGATGTGCTAACTCCCTTGCCCAAGATCACAGAGCTAATGAGAGGTGGAGCCTGCATTTGAAGCCACAGGTGTCTGACTCCAGAACACTCGAGGCAGAGGGAGCAGCAAGTGCAAAGGCCCTGAGGTAGGAACAGGCTTGTGGTATTTAAGAACAGAAGGTAGGCCAGTGTGGCCGGAAATGGGGTGGCTGAGGAGGAGCAGGGGTCAGAGTGAGAAGCTACCTCACAGAAGGGAGTGGCAGCAGTGGAAGCAATTTGGATCCTAGCGTAAAGACGAGGGAAAGCCATTGGGTGGGTTTTGATGCAGGAGAGGGACATAATCTGTTTTTAAAAGATCAGTTTCTCTACATCCAATGGAATGTTATTCAGCCAGAAAAAGGAATGAAGTGTTGACAAATGCTACATGGATGAACCTTAACAACGTGAGCTCAGGGAAAGAAGCCAGACACAAAAGGCCACATATGTGACTCCATTTATATGAAGCGTCTAGAGCAGGCAAATCCATAGAAACAGCATATTGGTGGTTGCCAGGGGCTGTACAACACTGTGAATGTACTAAATGCCACTGGACTGTTCACTTTAAAATGGTTATGTTTAGGGGCGCAGTTGGGTGGCTCAGTCGGTTAAACGTCCGACTTCGGCTCAGGTCATGATCTCACGGTTCGTGGGTTTGAACCCCACATCGGGCTCTGTGCTGACAGCTCAGAGCCTGGAGCCTGCTTCAGATTCTGTCTGTCTCAAAAATAAATAAACATTAAAAAAATGTTTTTAAATGGTTAAGTTTATGTTATATGAATTTCAGTGGGAAACAAATAAACCAACTCCCTAATCCCACCGAGCAAAAGCTCTTGATGTGGGTACCACGCACTGGCTGCCTTCAGGGGGCCTGGGTCCCCGAGAACCGCCCACCAGTACGTGCAGGGGTATTGGTGCCTTACAGAGGAGAGGCCCACGGCTTCCATCAGATGCCAAGAGTTGTGACACTAAAATGAAAACTAGGAACAAGTTAGAGAATTTCCTCGGCGAGGAAAGATCTGGAAGGAAGCTGGGTGCGGGCGGGCCCGGGGCTCTGCGGAGACGCTGGGGAAGGCAAGGGAAGAAGCGAGGTGTACCGAGCACTAACGCACCAGCTCCCCACCTACCCCACCTACCTACCCCACCTACTGTCTCATTCAATTCTCCTAATGCCCCCTTAGCCCCATCTGATCACTTTCAGTTTGAAAGATGGCACCGCTGAGGCTGGAGGGAATTAAGAGAATACAGAGAATACGCCTGAGGTTCAGGAGCTCCTTCCTGTCCTTTGCACAACAGGGTGGGTATTATCATCCCTCCGGGGCTCAGAGTAGTTAAGGAACTTGCCCAAGGCCACACAGCCAGCTGTAGCAGTACAGGACCAGGGTCTCCGCCCCGGTCCCCAGGCCTCTGTGTAGCACCTTCCTGCTGGCAGGGGCGGACACTGGCTCATCCTGGGCTCCCCCTCCTCCCATGCCCTCCAGCTAGATCGCCTTCCGCCCCTCCCGGGCCCCAGGCCTCCATTGTCCCCTCACTCCCCTCTGTCCTGCTGTCCCCTACCTTCCTCAGCGCCTGCTCTACCTCCCGGTTTTCCACGACCAGGTTGTGGTGCTGGGACCTCAGCAGCAGTATCTCCTGCTGGATCTTGGCCACCCTCGCCTGCGAGGCCCGGAAGTCCACCTTCTGCTGCTTCTCGGCCTCCTGCTTGGTGCGAAGGAGGTTGTTCTCAGAGAACTTGAGCACCTGGTGCAGGTGGTTTTTCAGTTCCTGGATCACGAAGTTCTCTTTCTCCACCTGGGCCAGGAAGGCGAGAGGCTCCGTTAACACCTGCTGGATGCACGGAGCCGGCGACCCGCACCATTGCCCCCCCCCCCCCCCCCCCCCCCCCCCCCCCCCCCCCCCCCCCCCCCCGCCACGGAGTCCTGCCCCTAACGCCCCGGGGGGACAGAGTCCGCCTGATTACAGACAAGGGAACTGAGGCTTGAGGGCGTTGCGTCATCTGGCAGGGGCTGTACAGCTCAGCGGGGGGGGGGGGGGGGGGGGGGGGGGGGGGGGGGGGGGGGGGGGGGGGGGGGGGGGGGGGGGGGGGGGGGGGGGGGGGGGGGGGTCAGGGGGGGGGCTTGAAGCCAGGTCTGTCTGATCCAGACCCCGCGTGCCTGGCCACCCCCTCTGTCTCCTGGCCTGAGTGATGGGCAAGCTGGGGTGAGGCTTCCAGAGAGGTCTGGGACGGTGGCACGGGACGGGCGGGCTCCGTTGGCAGACACTAGGAGTGTTTCAGGAGAGCATGAGGCACACATACTGCGGGGATCGCCACCCGCTAATGCTTGTGGGACACAACTGCCCTCAGATGGTTCTAGAACAGGAATCGGGGGTGGAGGGTGGGGCTGTTTTGTAAATAAGCTCCGAGGCTGGAGCCCTCGAGTCTCCCTGGGGGCCCATCAGTGCTGGGGCTGGGACCAGCCGGCAGGGGCCCACGGGGTCATGTTCCGGAGCCGGGGACACCGTCAGCAGTCAGAGCGTCTCTTGACCCCGCGGCTGCCCAAGCGTGTCACCCCCTCATTTCACACTGAGATCCGAGTGGCATGATGAAATTTGTCGACTTGACCCCAGATCTGTCCAACTCGGAAGCCCGAGCTGTTTCCACCACCCGAATGGGACTCACAAAGCCACTGGGGGCCCCTCTCCCTGTCCCTCACGGGCACCCCTCTAATCTGTGTGTGAGCTCCCCTGACCAAGCGCACCGGGCCAAAAGGGACACGGCCCCCTTCCCCTTATGGGGTGCCAGACCCAAATCAAGTCACCAAATAAATAATCACACAAACAGTCAGCAACAAACTCTGCCTTCAAGGACAAGTTCGGTGAGAACTTGAGGAGGGGGCGGCAGGGCGGCAAACAGCTTCCGAGGGCCTCGCGCTCTGTGGATCGCAGGGGGCTGGCAGTGGAAGCGTCTCTGGCAGCCCTGGCCGGCTGCCCCTCGGGATCCCTTCTCCCCAGAAAGGCTGTGAAGCAGAATTTTCCCTGGAGACACGGCCCCAGGTACAGACCCCCTTTCCCAGCGTCGCCAGCCACTGGGGTGGCTAAGAGCTGTTACCATCGGCTACGTCCAGCTTGCATCCCTAAAGGGCCAGGGTCAAGGCCCTCTTCCCCTTTCTTCCTCCTGTTGGCTGGACCGGTGGTGACATGATGGGGTCTTCTGGGTGCATGGCTAGAAGCCCCGTGTGTTGGGGGGGAGGGGTGCGGCCAGACGGAAGGAGCCCGGAGCCCTGACAATTCCCCCAGGCAAGCTTCAGCTTTTCCACTGGAAACAAACACGTTTCCATCTGGACTGAGCACTGCCATTTGGGGCCTCTCTGCGTTGGCGGCCAAACCTGTACTCACGTACCACCTCACGGGGACTCTGTAAGGCTTCAGCGAGCTAATGTGTGCCCAGCATAATACATAGGTGTGCGTCCAAAACGGTTATTCCGTTGGGATCATGTGATCATTGCCCCTTCTTAAAAATTCTTCCAGAGCTTCCACCGTCCCATCTGCCCCTCGCTCTCAGAATGGAGGTCACAGTCTTTGATCAGGCCCCAGAGGCACTACGCGATCTTCTGGCAAAGCCTAAAGTACTTACCCGTAGAGGGATTGCCCGTTGCCGGCCTGGCACACCCCTCCCTCCCTCCCTCGCCTGGTTCGCTCCCTTTCATCCTTCAGGCGTCGCCTTTGATGTCTGTGACCCTTTGAGTCTCTTGTAACCCTGTCTTATAGCACCTTCTGCTTCCCCTTCATTGTACTTCTCAAAACCACAGCTCAGGCCTTTAAGACCTGCTTTCTAAACAGAAGCAGGTCTCGAAGACCTACTTCCCACGAACGGCACGAGGTGGGGACAGTGTGGACTATTTATGAGACCCGCTAGTAAGTGCTCCTAACAATATGTGTAGGGTGAGCGAACGACAGACAGCAGGTACTTAAATCCCTGAGGAAAAGCCCCGACCCGCCGGCAGGGTGGGCTCCTCCCGTGGACGGACCGCTACCTCCGCATCCCTGTCCTTCATGTTCGCTGCCAGTTCGTTCTCGAGAGCGTTGAGCATGTCTTGGTTCCTCCTGTTCTGTCTCCCGATGTCCTGTATGAACTGACTCTTCTCTCTGGCTTCCATCGGGCTGGTGAGGAGCTTCTCGAACAGGAAACCCCGCAGTTCCACCAGGCAGTCGATAAAACGCTGGGCTTCCACGCTTCTGCCCAGTGTGCGCGCCTCCAGGAGCTTTGGCGCCTGCGGGTCGTTGAGCAAGAGTCTCAGGGCGTCCTTGGTGGAGTCTCTGACCTGCTGCATAAGTGGCATTAGGTGGGATTTCCGCAGCTGCACGGAGAGAAGGCGGTCTCGGAACCACCCCTCCTCCTCAGACGCCTCCTCCTCCTGCAGCCGCCTCTCTTTATCTTGCAGGTAAGCCACACTGTCCAGGAGGCTGTGACACAGGTCCGCGTGCCCTCTCAGCGCCCTCAAGGTGTCCCCCCCCAGAGCGCCCTCCAGAGCCTGGAGACTGGAAGCCATGTGCGAGAGCAGGGTCACCAGCTCCACCTTGTGGATGGTGTCGTCCAGGACGGACATGACTCTCTTGGTCTCGATGGTGGTGAGCTTGGACTTCAGGGGGACCAGGGGCTTGAGCGGCGAGGCTGGCGTTTTGGACAGCTCTGCCGTCAGCCTCATCCTGTTGATGTCAGGGCCCTGGTAGAGAGGGGCCACGGCGAGAACGTCGAGAGCCATTTTCTGAGCCGCGTCCCTTGCCTCTGTGTGCCCCGGGAGGTGGAGACGTTGCTGGATGAGGCGGGTCTCCTGCTGTCACGTTCTCCGGCCACCCTGCAGAGGACGGAGGAAGCGGTTAGTGGTGTTGTGCCGCTGTGGCCACGGTGGCCTCAGACTAACGTCCAGAGCTCGTCCCGGCTGCCCTGGAGCTCTGACACAGAACCTCTCACCGAAAGCAGTTTCTAGCTTTGCGACAGCATCGGACGCAAGGGAGGGAGGACCCGGGGGGAGGTGGGTCTCAGCCACAGGCGTCGGGCAGGGCACACCCGGGAGTGTGTGAAGGGCTTAACCAGGTAGGATATTAAGTATCCGCTAAAAGGGAGTTGTCCAGCCGTTGACATTAATGAGCATTCAATCGCAACAGACATCATTTCGGGTGACTTAACATGAATGAATAAAAGTCAGTGCTATTGGATTTTTTTTTAAAGCACCTAAATCTAGAAAGCCAAGCTACACGGGTGATGGAAAGAGTTGAGAGGCGAGCCAGGGAAGGGGAGGCCACCCATCCATTGTCAATGGCAGGAGGCCACCAAGAAGGAGGTGGTCGTTGAAACTAATTTGACAATAAACTATTTGTAAAAAAAAAAAAAAAAAAAGAAGGAGGTGGTCGTGAGCTTGAGGACAAGGGTCCCCCAGGGGAAGCTGGAACCACACCCATTTCCTGTGCAGGAAGAGCTATAGCGCCCCCCAGAGCCTGTGGCTACCACTGGAAATGCAGCCCAGAGGAGAAAGAGGAGGAAATACTGTGGTTTCTTCTTCCTCCCACGCACTGGGTTTTAAGTACGGATTTTAAAAGTCAGGGTGGACGTGAACAATGACTTTGAAACGCAGTTTCTCAAACCGGCTTCGCTAAATGCAATGTCGCATCCTGGATTGGATCCTGGAAGGGGAAATGGACGTTAGTAGGAAAGCGTAAAACCCAAACTAAGGCGATGGCGTCGTTAACAGCACACTGTACAATGTTAATTTCTTGGTTTTGATAGACCGACACATCGGGGTTCTTTAAGATGGTAGCCTCGGGAGAGCTGGATGAAGGGCATTCGGGAATCCTGAACTACCTTTGCAACTTCTCCCTAAATCTACAATCATTACAAAATAAAAAGTTAGTAAGACTTTCTGAGAAATGTATGGCAGCGATCAGAAATCGATCATTGATATTGTCTACACAGCAGGATGGCTGAGTACTAGCTTTATAGTAGCCCCACTTGGGTTTAGACCCTTGCTGGGGGGACCCTAGGCTAGTTGTCCAATCCCGCTAAGCCTGGGCTTCCTCAGCCATAAAACAGAGATCCTAAGATTTGGTGGAAGTTGCCGGCACAGGACCTGCACATTGTAAGTGCTCAATAAATAATGACTAGCACTATGAGCCCAGGGAACCCAGATCCCAGGTCCAGGACTGTGGCGATTTCCTGGTCTGCATGTCGGGGCTTGGCTGGAGATCCAGATGTACCAAATGACCTGCCTCCTGCCCAGGATTGGCTGGGCTCCCCAACATACCAGGTCTACGAGGGACCCCACCGTGTCCCCAGCCCTTACCCGCTCCTTCTTTATCCCTCATCCTGATGACTGGCAATTCTGTCACCCTAGTTGCTCTAGCCGGAAACCTGAGCTCCCCCTCACTCTTCCCCCCATCCCAGTCTGCCGGTTCTCTCTCAGCTCTTTCCTTGACAGCCACCGCCCCCCGCCCCCTTCCTTTCCTTCTCGGCAGCCTCTCTGCCACTGAGTGAGGGCCTTATCATCTCTCACTTGGATAATTAACGAGCGTCTTAACTGGTCTGCTTACGCCTGTTCCTGCTGCCTGCAGTAAGGGTCATCTATCTGGGTATTTATTGAGCCCCTGGGGATATAAAAGAGATGCAGAGTTTATAACCTAGTTTGGAATATGAAACATGCACACGTGAAAGTTCAACAACTATAGGAGGAAGGGTATAAAGCTGTAATCACAGAATAGGTTGAGATCATGACCAGCCTTCAACAGTAGAGTGGGGATTTTGGAGTTTATCTTGTAGGAAATTGGGATCCATTTTGATTTTAGGAAACAGGTAACAGGAGAAAATCAGATTTTTGAGAAAGATCAGTCATAATCGATGATTTACAGGGAAAGGGGAGGTGGCAGGCAGATAGCTTGGGATATTATAAACCTTCCACCTCAGGGCCTTTGCACATGCTATTTTTTCCTTCTTGAAACATTCTTTCCCCTCCTTATTACTAAGTTAATTGTACTCAGATCTCAGTTCAGGTGTCACTTCTTCAGAGAAGACTTTCCTGGGCTTCCAGACTGGGTCAAATTCTTGTAGTTGATTTTGATAAAGCCATGCCTGCCTCTTTGTGGCAGCCACCATGCCCATCCCAACCTCCTTCCTTCTTGCTTGCCTATAATATAGTGGCTGGAAATATTTAATGCTCAACTTCTCTTTACTGTTAAGAGTGTCTATAGACACTGTTAGAGCCAATAAAATACAAAAGATTTCTAGGGGCTTCTGGGAAAACTTACACCTTCCCGAGACAAAAGAAAGACATTGTTGGCTTCAATTCTGTTCCTTGAACTTGAGCTTTAATGCTGAAGCAGTGTCAGCCACTTTGTGAATGAGAAGGAAACTGCAGGAATGCTCTTCCTGATGTCATCGAGCCACTGGACTCCATCATCTCTTATTCAGACGATGGTGATAACCTTTTCACTGGCAACCCGGCTTCTGCCCATGCGCTCCACAGTCTCCTCTGATCACGGGAGCCAGAGGGAGCCTTTTAAAATGTCAGATCCTTGAGGTGCCTGGGTGGCTCAGTCGGTTGAGTGTCTGACTTCGGCTCAGGTCATGATCTCGTGGTCAGTGAGTTCAAGCCCCACGTGGGGCTCTGCTGACAGCTCAGAGCCCAGAGACTGCTTGGGATTCTGTCTCCCTCTCTCTCTCTCTGCCCCTCCCCTGCTCATGCTCTGTTCTGTCTCTCAAAAATCAATAAATGTTAATAAATAAGCAAATAAATAAATAAAATGTTGGATCCTTTTATTCCTCTGCTCAAAATCCATTGGTAGCTTGACTTCTTTTTTTAAGTTTGTTTTATTTATTTTGAGAGAGAGAGAGAGGCAGAGAGAGGGAATCCCAAGCAGACTCCACACTGTCAGTGCAGAGCCCAATGTGGGGCTCGAACTCACGAACTGTGAGATGGTGACCTGAGCTGAAATCAAGAGTCAGACGCTCAACCAACTGAGCGAGCCAGGTGCCCCAGACCATCAGTGGTTTGAAATCAGCCATGGTGGGAGTATTTACACCGCAGAAATTGGCAAATACTACAGATCAGCGCCCCCTTCCCACCAAACTGGCTGTTGGACAGTTATCAGCACATCCCACGACGGAGAGCTTCCCATTTCCCTTGGGATAAAAGCCTGAGTCCTTACAGGGACCTAGAAGCCCCTACGTAATCTGGCCGCTGCTATCACTCGCTCTTCTGCACTCAGACTGACCCCTTTGCTGTTCCCTGAACACGTCAAATGTGCTCCAACCTCTGACAGGGCCTTTGCACTTGCTGTCTGCACACCACTACCCCTACCTCCCGCCAAGCCCCAGGTCTGGAACGTTCCTCTAAATATCTGCCAAGCTTGTCCTCACACTTCCTTCTCTGCCCAACTCTCGGGGTAGTAGTGAGTGCTCTCCGGATTTCCTTCCTAAAATATAAACCCTCTCCTCCTCCCTGCCCTCCCTTTCCCCTTACCCTGTTCCCTTTTCTCTTGGCTAGGTTCTCACCATCTGACATCTGTATACGGGCCCATTTGTTTATTGTCTGTCTGTCCCCCTCCCCTAAAAAGCGAGCTCCAGTGAAGGTAGGGGCTTTGTCTACTTTGATCATCGTTACATACCCAGCACTGGAAAAGAAAAAACACCTCAACGTCATCTTGGGGTGAGGGCTGGGCCCCCCAGCAACAGGCTCCCTGTGCCCTTCTCCTTGTCATAGGCTGTGGATGCGAGAAGCATTTTGAAGAAGGACTCATCAGGGCTTGATGAGTGAGACTGTTTTGCGTTTGGGGCACTGGGAGAGAAAGATGGGGCCTTTTGGAGGGACTAGAAAAATTGGGGGGAAGGAGGTATAGAAGGGAGGACGAAGAGCTTGTTTTTTGTTTGTTTTTGAGAGAAAGAGTGTGCTTAGCCACGGTCGGTGTCTGTTGCTTGCAATCAAGGAAGCCTAGCTGAGCACACTCTGGGCATCTGACAGCACATGATCCCAGGGGGCCTTGGGGATGGAGACATCAACGCAAAGGGACAAGTTGCTGACGCTTGAAGCGCCAAGAGATACTCAGTTCCCCAAACCAGAGTAAACAGACAGAAGGGCGGGAATCAGAGGAACATCTCGAGTGAGTGAGCGTAAGAAAGACAGCCGGATCGGATGCGGAGGCTGCTTGGGTCCTCAGCCCGGCAAAACGGGTCCCAAAGTCCAAAGCCTCTGGGAGCTGACCTCGAGGCACCTTCCCTTGCATCTCTTTGTTTCCCGCCCACTTTCTGCGAGTCAATTTCGTGGTGAATCCCCCTTCAGGCTTTTCCTGAAGATAATGTTTCAGGGAAATCCAGGGAACTTCCTCGGCCCCTCTGAAGGTCCTGCCCTGGCCCCGGGACGAACGTGAATAAAAGGTTTCATGAAGCACTGCCCCCCATTGTCCCCCAAAGCTCTCAGGCATAAATCAAAATGCCTGATCTCTTCAGAGACGCAAGGTTCTATGAAACGTTTCCAATTTGCTTTCAGCCAAATTACCTCTTTTACTTTAAAGGGCAAACTTGTTTTCTTTGATTATGATGACGCCCATCAGTGTCTGACAGCTCATTTGGGTGAACACGGAGAAGCCGGCGGAACGAGAATCGGGGGAAATGCATCTAACTCTGATGACAAAAATCACTGGAGAATCTCTTTGCCTTGAATCCTAATATGATCATTTCATGTCCTTTTTAATGCCACCAACCTTAATATTTAAATCATTTCCAACTTAAGCCTCTCCTTTTAAAATTCCTGCCCTGAGAGTGCAGCAAGATTGTTAATGGACGGGGAACTTTAATTGGACCTTCCCTTTA